ATGGTTTTGGCGTGGGAGCAAAAACTGCATTGCAATTCTTGGCTCTGAGGTAGGGTCAGGAAGGTCAGTAGCCCAGCGTTGACCTTTGTGTTTGGAATCTTTCATATTGACTCACCAGACTGTTGTAATTTGGTGAGCCAAATAGCAGAAATGTAGACGGCGGTCTCTGCGCCTGAACTTTAAACCTCCTGAGTCGTTTGTCCTTTATGATAATAATTAGCATTGCTCGGGATCCAAAGCAGAGTAGCCACCTAAGACCTACCATATTAATCTAAATTAAATCAATGAGTGACCACGAGAAACCTGCTGGGAAGATGGGGGTGGGCAGCTGAGTAGCCCAGCTGTACACCTTTGTATATTGTTTATTTAGAAGTCTGTTCAGAGGTGATTTTTTTTTTTTAAAACAGAGTGATGTGTCTGACAGAGAAAATGAGAGAATTTCAGCAACATTGACATGATCACATGCTTATCAAGTGTCAAGTTCTCCAGTCCCTTTAAATCCAAATGGGTTTGTTTTACTCCTTATTTCTTCTTCTGGTGATGAAGTAATAAATGTCATTTTATAATCGGGGCCAATGGTATTTTTCAAAATTAAGTAATATCTTTTTATGCTAGAAAACTATGAAGCTAAAATTTTTAAATCAAATTTGATCCCATCACCTAGAGATAATGACTGTAGATATTTTGGTTTTTTCAATTAATAGGCATGTGTATATGCTTATATAAATAAAGCTTAAATACAAATTAATCTTTATATCAGGGATACTTCCCAAGTTATTTTAAAAAATTTTACCTTTAATAGTTGCAATTTATTCTAAGATTTACTATTATTTATTCAAACAGTTCCTATTTTTGGACATTTCGGTTGTTTCCAGATTTTGAACATCCTTGCACATAAATCCTCATCCTTATCTTTGATTACTTCCTTAGGATAAAATCACAGACATGGAATTACTAGGTCAAAGGTGACACTCCTTTTTAAGGCTCCCGATGAATATGAATCACATTGCACCCTAGAAAATTTGCTGAAGTTTATTCCTGTCATCTGAGCATGAGAGAGCCCGTCTGACCAACGTCGTTTCAGCCTTGGGCATCGCGCTCGGCTCGTCCCGCGAGAGCTGGGCTGTGACTTCTCTGGCTTCATAGCTGCTCTGCTTCATAACTGGCCGTCTCCAGTACATGCTGCTGAGAGGCTGTCACAACAAACCTAGTACGGCTTCCCTCAGTCTAAAGGCTGGTAAGAGTGGACACGGCCCATCTAAGACGTGTCCAGGATGAGTACATGCGTGACATAGTTCTTAATGAGAAAAGTCAGGCTGTGAGTTTTGTTAAATTTGTGTGTCCTAAGCATCCTTTGGGAGGGTTGCTTTGGCCTCTAGAGTGGCTATGCTGGGTCCCTTCCCCCGAAATGTCTGTCTGGCAATAAAGGAAACTCCAAGCGTGAAAGCTGCACATCCCGGGCTCAGAGAGTTTCCCTGCTGGCAGAGAATTGATTGACTGGAGGGCAATCACTCTGACTTGAGAGATTCTGCCCGCTCAGGATGAATTGGGGAGAAATCACCAGAAGGGAATTGGCCTCTGAAGTGTGAGAACATTGGGTTAATGCCGTCAGGAGCAATGCTGGTCAGAAACATGGCATTTTTGCCTCCTTTCAGATCTCATGTCATTTGGAGCAATAGTGGAGAGACATAAGATTTAGATCTCCCTTTCTCTACGAGTACATGTTCTACTTACTTCCTTTTCCATTTTAGTAGTTATGAACGGTAGATTTGTAACAGTTTATAATGCTTGGTTTATTTTGTAACAATATCAAAATTTCATCAATTTTTTTCTAAATGCTGAACAATGTCATCGAAATCAATTAAATCATTTAATATATATGTGTCTGATCCTATCACAGGCCCTGGGGTTAGTCCAGTGAATAAGTCCAGCTAATCTCTGCCATCATGGAGCTTGTATTCTGGTGTGGGAAAACACTACACAAATGTGTAGCAGGTCGTGTACTGATAATAGCTTTGGAGAAACACAGAGCAGCCCTGGCCGGTTTGGCTCAGCGGTTAGAGCGTTGGCCTGCGGTCCGGAGAGACCCGGGTTCGGTTCCCGCTAAGGGCACATGCTTCGGTTGCAGTTTGTCCCCGGCCCGGGTTGGTCGTGCGGGTGGCAGCCACTCAATGTGTCCCTTCATGTCGATGTTTCTCTCTCTCTCCTTCCTCTCTCTCCCTCCCACTCTATCTGTACAAAAAATGGAAAAATATCCTCGGGTGAGGATAAAAAAAAACAACAGAAAAAAAACAAACAAAAAAAATTAAAAAAAAAAAAAAAGAGAAACACAGAGCAGGGGCAGGGGGTGGGGAGGGTGCAGAATGGAGTTAGAGTGCTGTTTCACACGGGATGGTCAGAAGAGGCCCCTGAATAAGAGACATTTGTGAACAGACCTGAAGAAAGCAAGGCAGTGAACCTTTTGGATATTGGGGTGATGATGCCCCAGGTATGGGAAACAGCACATGCAAAGGCCCTGAAGTGGCTGCTTGCTTGGTCTCTACCAGGAGGGCAGAGTGAGCCAGCGGGTGGGAGGAGAGTGGTGGGCGCGGAGCAGGTGAGCCCTGGCTGATCTTCGGAGAGGCTGTGTCTTTGGTTCTGTGTAATGCAGGGTCAGGAGGGGTTAGAGCAGAGAAGTGACATGATTGGACCTCAGTTCTTGTTGGCACAGAGGTGGTTTAGCCACCAGAACAGGAGGAAAGTGAGAGTACTTTGGCAGGTGCAGAGCTCGGTAGATGGGAGGTGGGAGTACGGGGAAGGCCTCACCTGATGGCGTCTGCTTCTTGGTGAAGTGAGAAGCCAGGACGCAAGCCTGCAGTGGGGTTGGGGGAGGAGGCCTTGGAGGCGTGGGGAGAGGAGAGGGTGTGAGGTAATGGTCTTGGGGCGGGTGCTGAACGGAGAGATAAGGGTGCACATGGCCATGAATGCTGTGTTATCAATCACTTGCGTAAAGGACCAGTTGTATAAAATTTATTTTTTAAATTGTTTTTAGATTTTCCTCTAGCCAGCTGCCTCGGTAGCCTTTATCCTATAGCCAGCCCTTGGCCGATTTTCTTTGCCAATCTTGACACATCACAACTCTAGAGGTTTTGTTACAGGGTGGGGCAAAAGTAGGTTTACAGTTGTTTGCGTGGAAAATACTTCAATAATTAATAAATAATAATACAGAGCAAACCCTGTGTTTCATGTACTCGCAACTATCAACCTACTTTCCCCCACCCTGTATAAGGACTGAAATCCTGGGCTAGTAGCTCTGGAAAGGACTTAGAAATCCTGTGGTCCAGTCCCTTCATTTTACAGAGAAGAGGTGAGAACCCACCAGTGAGATGGAGGGACCTGCCCAGGCCACAGAACTCAGGGGTCAGAGCTGACCTCACATTCTGTCCCCTGAGTCCCAGCCAGGGCTCTTTATAGGATAACATAATTGCTCTTTACTTTTCCCAAAAGTTAATTTTAATAAAACTTAATTGTATGAATGTTGGATATTTTTAAGTTTCTACTGTGATGGCATCTAACTGGTTTAACTTTAAAAGATACCTGAAGAAAACCAAAACACTAATTCACAAGAATATATGCACCTATATGTTCATTGCTGTGTTATTTACTTCCAAGATTTGGAAGTAGCCCAAGTGTCCCTCAGTAAATGAGTGGCTAAAACAGCTGTGGTACATTTACACAATGGAATACTACTCTGCCATAAAAAGGAAGAAAATTTTACCCTTTGCGAGAGCTTGGCTGGACCTGGAGAACATTATGCTAAGTGAGATAAGCCAGTCAGAGAAAAACAGGTACCATATGATTTCACTTATATATGGAATTTAATGAACGAACTGAACAACCAAGCAAAATAGAGAGACTCATAGATAGAGAACAAGCAGACAGCTCTGATGTGAGGGTGATATTGGGGGTGGGGTGGGGTGGGGTGGAGGGATTGAACAAAAAAAGAATAAAAAAGTGAGAGAATTTATGGACATGGACGACAGTGTTGTGATTATGGGGGTGGGGGTGGAGGTGGAAGAGGGCATAGAGGAGATAAATGGTGATGGAAAAATAAAATAAAATAAAAGATATATGAAAGTTGGGGCAAATACTTTAAAAAATTGTGTTGAGGTTTGTAAAACCCATATAGCACCTACTATTTCATTTTTCGTGTTTCCTCTAGATATAAAATGGCATCGTCATTGTCATCAGACATTTAGGTGGATTACTTCAGTATTTTACACAGCGTTCTTTTATTTAACAAGTTATTATTCATCTCCTCTCTCCTTCTTTATATGTGATTGAAATGTTTCCACGCTTATTTCCAGGGGGTGAAGAGTAGTCCATGTGGTACCATTGCATAACCCGCCCTACCCCTGGATAGTTGCCCTCCTTATTTATAGGAAGCCAAAAAAATAGCCGATTGTATTCTAGTCAACAGTGCCCACCCAAACATGAGTCTTACGGGAGGACTTTTGCTTCTCTCTTTTAATGGGGACGGAAGCAGGAGCAAGGAAAATATTTTGATCATTTTTGAATATCCTGAAATACCATCTTGGGAAGGATTCATGGTTTTTCAGGTTCCCTAAGGGACTTAAAAAAAAAACAAACAAACAGCAATATACAAACCCTATTTAAAACTAAACGTTTCAAAAAGTGACAAGTAAACGTTTTCTTTCACCTATCTTCGAATTAGGACCCCTTACTCATCTCTAACACGAGTCGTTAATTTTTGTTGAGTGCAGGGGTTTAGAATACTCATTCACGGCTAAAGAGCTCAGGGGTCTTAGCTAGATAAACATTTTGTACAATGAAGCACTGGAATTTTGAAAATCTGCATAAAGATTGTGAAACTTTTTAAAGATTCATATTTTAACAGTGTACAGTTTGTCCATCATTTCTTAATCTGCTTCACCACTGAAAAATAACATCAGCACAAGAACAGATATGAACCTCTTGCTTTCTGCTCCTATATTGTGCAGGACAGTAACCAAAAAAGCAAAATTTGTGACATCAGATTTATTTCTATGGCAACTGACTGTAATGTTACAAACATTGGATTATTGACTAGTTCAGGATGAAGGTTCAGAAAGATTCTTATTTGGACGAGATCATCCAAAACCAACACCAAGGGGAATATTATCAGAGCGGCATCCAGCAGCGTATCCTTTTCAAAAAAAATGTTCTCATTATGCTGAGAACTTTGTTTTTTTGGTGTGTGAGGGTTTTTGTTATTGTTTAATGTTTCATTTTGTTTGTTTGGTTGGTTTATTTATGTATCCTCTTCTTCCCCCAGAGGTGATTGGGTGCAAAAATGGTTATTTTTAGTAATAGAAGCCCCCTCTCTTAAGATGCTGTCTTTGCCTTCATTAAATTCTTCCTGCATAAATGAGTTATTTTGGAACTTTAGTCAGAAACATCTGTACTTTGTGCTGGACAAACATCTGCCTTCCTACTGGAGCTGCCAGTCCTCCTGATGTTAGATAAAGCCACTTTGCTCTCTGAAAGCCCCTCAGAGAGGAAAGCATGTAGAAAAAGTGGCCCACTGATTCTTTAGCCCAGAGTGCCTCCTTGTGGCCGGAGCAAGTTACTACAGCAAGAAGATGAAAGGATCTAAATTGTTTACCAGTTTGCTCTCCATTTCCCCCTTTCCAAACTCATGAAGTTTTTAAAGGCAAAATGTATTTTCATCAACATATTATGTGATGACGCGGTGTGAATACAGAGCCTCTGAGAGCAGACAGAGCTTTGCTACCATCTTGGAAGGTAAGCCAGTGTTGGCGTGCACACTATTTGAGGTATTTTTTTTCTTCTTTTTTTACTCCTCACTTAAGGATATTTTTTCCATTGGTTTTTAGATAGAGTGGGAGGAAGGAAGGGAGAGCGAAAGAGAGAAACATTGATGTAAAGAGACAAATCGATTGGTTGCTTCCCGCTTGGCCCTGGGGCTAGGGATCGAACCTGCAACCGAGCTGTGTGCCCTTGACACAGAATCGAACCCGCAACTTTTCAGATCTCAGGCCGATGATCTAACTGCTGAGCCAAACCGACCAGGGCTGAGATATTTTTCTGATAGTGATGGAACACATGTGCTGATCAGTTTTCAAAGCCTTATATGAACCATCCAATACTGAAAATATGTGTTTGAGAGATTTCGATTCTCTTGGGAAGCCTGCCCTGCCTCTGCTTACTCCAAAGGTTGGGCTAGTTGTAATTTTTTTTTTACCTTTCTGTTTCCCTTACTCAGTATAAATTTCTTCAAGGCAAAGCTGTTTTGTTCTTCACCTCTGTGTTCACAATGGACAGCAAGTGCCTGGCACATAGTAGGTCCTCATTAAATGCTGGACAAATGATAGGTGTTCAAGGACCAGCTGTGGTGGGTCAGAAGCTTAAAATCTATAATCTTGGCCTGTGCCCTGACCATCTGAGTATATGATTAGCTTTTATTACTGTGTTTTTCTATACTTACTATTTGGAAATTGCCTTAAATATAGTGAGCTTTGCTTAATGAGAAACTGAGGTAGCAAATAGCAGACCTTATAATAAAGCTGGACATTTTGACAGAGTTCCTCCTCTCCCTCCTAACTTTGCTGGCTTTTGGTTTGTTTTGCTAAATCATTAGCTTGTAATGTCTCCTTTTTATTCAAAACATCTGCCACCCAGTACTACACTAGTAAAATTTGCTGGCGAATACTATGAGCTCAGAGCAAACTAGCCCATGCACCCTAACTGTAGGGAATGGTGAGTTATGCAAATTTTCAGAGCACAGGGACCCCCTAACCATTTTTGATTGTCCACTTACTATCTGTATCAAAACATGCTGTGTAGTAAACACATTTTTAAAGGTGCATTTAACTCTGTTTTGAGAATGGAGCTATATTCCCCCAAACACATGTATCATTCAACAAATATTTATCAGTCTCCTACTGTGTGTTTGGCACTGTGCTAGGATCACAGACACGGATGAGACAGGCTTCCCTGGATCACGGGGAGGCTGAGGGAGCTCTAGTGCAGTTGATGTGTGTGACCGAGGTCTACACACGGAGGGTGAGGGAGCACAGTGGAGAGCGGTGCCTATGCGAGGCTTCAGCAATACTGGAAGGATCGAACGCAAGGCCTTTTCCAGGTAAGTGGAAACACCTTGGTATGTGGTCAAGCCAAACTGAGAACAGTGTCATGTATTGCAGGAGAGAACAGTTAGGCAAATAATGTTATATACCACACGTAAAAACATTTCATTTGGGCAAGGCAAGGAAGGAGCGCTTGGCCAGTAAAAATCAGAGATTCTGACTTTCTTATCCCACCCCCCACCGGTGTGACCACTGACAGCCTTTCCAAAAACTCTGCAACTTCCCTCCTTTCTTTTACAAAAGTTGGTCCTTCTGCCTGGAAGTCACGGTTACTCTGTCTCCCGTCCAAGCCCTCCCTTCATCCCGGAGGCCCGCCTCGCATGGTGCATGGTACACTGTGCATCCCCATCACAGTGCCCACCACAGCGTGATGCAGACAGCGGACCTGTTACCTGCCTGTCTTTCCGGAGGACTGAACCACATGGGAAAGGGGTGTGTCTGCTGAGCCAGGGCCTAGCACTCGCTTCACACCTGAAGTCCTAAAAAAAGATGTGTTGATTGAATTAGATAATTAATTCATTCCCACTAACTCTCTAGGGTTGTGTCTCTGTGTGTGACTTCAGAAGGCCAGGTATTTCTTAGTTGGCCCTTTTTACTGAAAGAACAGACAAGCCCTTCTCATAGAGATGAGGGGAATGTAAAACCCCTCGCTGCAGAGAACCCAGCAATATCCTTCCCTTCAGTGGTACACATGGGAAGTTTCTTGGAGTAAAGTATATTGTTTTCAATAAAAAGAAAGATATACAGTCTAGGAGCTGCCCTAGAGCCTGTTTCCTCATCTATAAATAAGGAGGTGGGCCTGATGATCTCCCGGGACCTTCCAGCAAAGTTGTTCTAGGAAGCCACGTGGTAAATACTATAAAGCCATCTTACTGCTGCCAAAACTGCATGTAATGCTTATTAAGGTTTTGTAGAGTACTTCTGAATAATTTAGAGAAGAACAAGTGAAGAAACTATCTCCCCAACAGCATCTAGTACACAAGACCTAAGTTATTTGTGTTGATGAACTATATGATGGAGATAGAAAAACAACAGGTAAATGGGCAACATGCTTACTGTTGATGGGATTTTCAGGAAGGGAGAATCGTCTGCAAGGGCCCAAGTGGACATTTACTGTGACAATGTGTCATTTAAACAGTCCCATTATTTTTTCCATGGGAAGTGGCTATGAATCTGCAGTGAAAAACCCTTACAATAAGAGAATTAGAGCGTGAAACCAGCGTGGCTGTGTTTACAACCAAAACTTGATGAGTGTCAGGAACTCATGATTTGAAGAAGTGTCTTTTGGCAGTTTAGTAACAAAGTCTCAGGAAGGCAGCGGGAGGTGTGAGGAAAGAATGGCCCATCCTGCATTGCCTTGTCTCCGTCAGACGGCTATTTTCGGGGCGTCACCCGTCCGCAGATGCAGACCTGCAAACGTGTTTGTTGTCAGCGAGGCCGCCATTTGGAAGTGGCGCGGGAGCTGGGCAGCTTCTTTTCTATGTAACAGTCTAAGTGTGGCGGAGTTCAGTCTAGCGAGGGCCCCTTCCTGTCATAAATAAGATTACTTTCATTTCACTTGTGGAGTGTGCTATTCCTCAGAGTAATGAATTTCCTCTGTGCCTTTGAGCACATAAACATGGTTTTCATTAGCTTTCTCTCTTAAAAAAAAACAAAACAGGGGACAGGGAGGTGGAAGGAGGAGAGAGAATCTGAGCAAAATTAATAGATGGCAATTAACTCCATAAATGCAGATGGATTTTTTGCCCACTGGCTGGAACACGCCTGTGAGCAGTACCAAAAAGGCACTTGTCGGTCTCCTGAAATGCTACGAAAGTGCAAGGGGACAGAGAAGGATGCAGAGTTCACCATCCGTGAACAAAGAAACAAACAGAGAGAGAGAGATTAAGACAGTATTCTTTTTTTAATCTTGCTTTTAAGAACTCTATCGACATGTCCATCAGAGTGGCTCCCAGGCCATACAAATAGTCCTGGTGTCTGCTGGAATTTTGGAGGACATCACAGACAACAGCATACATGTCTCTTAGTGCGGTCTCTGCGTCCACCTCCCCTGCCTTGGCTGAGAGAGAGAGAGTGTGTGTGTGTGTGTGTGTGTGATTTTATGCTAATAAGCTGTCCCAGCCTTTCCCAATTTCAGATGTACCCTCTTGAGATTTGTAAGTCATGCAGTTCATAGTGCTAAATATGCAGTTGTTCAATTTTACCGTTTGGAACTTCTTGTCAAGGTTGACTCATTACAACGCGACTGGACTTTTCTCGTTGATGGCGCATACTGGAGCCTGAAAGCTATTTAGGATCCATTGACCCTTTGACTTCTGCCAGGATCTTTCCTTTGGGCTGTTGTTTTTGCAAATTTGGGGGCAGAGAGTGGAGTCATGGGGTGTTCTCAAATCATCCCAGAGAAGGAATTCAGCCATTAAAGAAAGAAAGAAAAAAAAAGGTCTAAAACTGGGTTTTCAAAATACTTATTCCCAGTGGAAGATGCCCAGATCTGTCTTTCCAGAATCTTTCTCTCCTCCAACAGCAATGTCTGTTCAGCCCCAGTTCATAGTGTACTGCGTGCTCACTGATACCTCCAGAGAGGAAGCAGCGCTAAGGCTCTGAAAGCATCAGACATTGAATTCTGGGCCACAGGTTGTCACTGACAGCTCATGGCAGACAAACTTTAACCCCAATAAAGAAGCTCGATGCCTTTCACAGTGCGACGTCTTCTAGCCCAGTTTGGACCCCCTGGATAGGTGTTCTTGTTACAGGTCAGTAGTGCAGCTGGTTCCCATCTGAAATGAGAAGCACGGAGCTGTTTAAGGAGCCAGTGCCTCTCCTACGCGAAGGCTGCTCTGCTGAAGTGCGCACAGCACACGAGGAGCCTCGAAAACCAGCCTCCATTTCACGTCGCTGCAGCGCCGGAAATTGTTTCTGGCTTGTTTTTGTTGTGAGAGAGCATTGCATATTAAAAACTCCCTGCAGTTGTTTAATATTTGCTTGGTAGTGTGCTAGTCCCTAATCAAGTCCTCCTCAGTAACTCATGTCAGCTCTGTCACTGTTTTGATTGGAATCATGAACAGTGACGCTGGAAATCTCCCGGGACAGTAAACCTCTGCAGCTGTGGAAGGCTGGAGCCATTTACTGGGATTATTAAAGGAACCTGAGTGACTTCTTTGGGAGGAGGGGTGCTAAAATGGGGTGAAATTCATAAAGTGCACAGAGATTTAGAATGAAGGTTCTGTTATGAGCACAGCCCCATAAGACTATCCTCATAGAAACAGATACAATATATTAACAATTGTTCATTCAATTGGCAAACATCCTGCTGTCCTTTGCCTTTGTTTAGAGGGGAAAATAGAGTCCAAATGTAAAATATGAAATTAGACACATTTAGTGCTTTACCACAGTTGTTTGAGTGGAATGTTCTTTCAAGGTGCTCTGTAAAAAACACATATTACCTTTGTTTCCTAAAGCTATTTTCAAGAGTTTGCCATTCATGCTTTAAGGCCTAACGCTCCTTAGAACAAAAGAAATAGGGAAATTTAAAATGTTCATGACATAAAGACACGATGACTGACTGCCTCCTGCTGTTAGGGATCTGGGGCAGGTCCGCAGAGTACAGAGGATGTGGCGGATGGGGCCGGATCCCAAGGCATGGGGAAGG